CATTATATGTCCCATAGTCCTTAGAAAAGAAAAATCCAGTAAATATACCATAGTCCTTACAAAATTACAAGAGCATAGTCCATATGGAGTATTCCAAGAAAAGAAGTCCATAAAGAATATTCCATAGAACAGTCCATATAAAATAGTCCATGCACAGTCCTTAGGAAAATTCCCATAAGTCCAAAAGTAATCTAGCAAAGCATAGGAACCAGTCCATGTAGGTAGGCCACCAGCCTGTCTCGAAAGACATTAGGGTGAGTCCCAAATGGCTGAAGAGTAGGTCACGAATCACTGAAAGGTCGGTCTTGGAAAGACAAAGTCTATAGAGAAAAAGTTCCTTTTTCAAGAGTAACTGGCAAGGGCTTAATGCACCTTCCCACGATGTCATCCAATCAGAGTTCGTTACTAGGCAAACAGTCCTGTTGCACCACATGACTTCTTTCTCATACACAGCAGATGTTATTTGGGTTACGGTGGTTTCTCAAAGAGTCACAACAATTCCCATCTATCTAATCACACAGAGTCCTTTCTCAGGCTTTCAGCATAACATTCTCTCGGCTCGCCTAGAAAACAACTTGTCAGCATAGCACAGATACTATATACAAAGAAACAAGATGGAACCTCTCTGGCTCATTTCATAATTACAAAACCCATATGCCTTTTTAACTCAAAAACCCATCTCATCACAGGGGTAGTCCTAAACATTGTTACTTTTCTCTTGCAGCTAGAGAATGTTCCGAGAGGACCAACGCTGGCGCTGGTATTAACCCTTTGTGTGAATTCACAGAATGACCACTTGAAGAACCATCGTTACAGGTAAGTAACCTTTCTTTCTGTTCTGCCTCTGGATTGAAATAGAGCCCCACCTCTCTGCTGAATGTTTCCTTTTCCTCTCTCTAGTCTGTTGGAAGCAGTCTGTTGTTAGTTTAGTGTTGATCGGTTCGCAACAGTTAAAAAATGAAAAGTTTTTTTATTCTGTCTTCTACAAATGTCTCTAAGTGGTTTATTGAGACCGTAAATGCCAGTTAATGAGAAAAGGATGCACTATATGGGGAACTCGTAGCTATTCCCTCTGTGAGTCTCTGTATTTCTAGTGTGTAGCAAAAGAAATTTCTACCAGAATTTCAAAACTCTGCCACTTCTTTAACAACCCATGTCCTTATAACACTTCCTCCTACAGTTCATTTTGTTTGTTTTGTGCTTTCATTTTCACTAATTGCATTCATTTCCAACTCCATTCAGTTTCATTATTCAAAATACCTGTTGGTATATTTGCTTCCTGGCTTGCTTTTTCCCCTGATTAAAAATATCTACGTACACTGCCTTCTAGGATGGTTTCTGGGGCAGTTTGTTCAAAATAGACAAAAGGCAAATAAAAATGAATGACATATATTTTTTAAATTGCTCGTATGTTACTTGATCAGGCTCCAGCGTAACCGTGTCGTTTGTTGTTCTGCGTTTGCAAGTTGGAGCTGAGTCGTAGTGACCTCGATAGGGCTTTGAAGGAAAGTCTCCAGCAGCAGATTAGGAAGGGTGGGTTAATGCGGCTAGTGATTGACAGCCACCCCATCTCAGAAAGGTCCCTCCCATCCCCAACCATGAGAGGCAGCCTGCGAGGTTGCAACAGCTCCGGCATGGCAGGTGGGGTTCTGATGAATTTTGTAGATGGAAATGTTGAAGCAGGAGCAACTGCCAGTATTCAGCTGGGACTTCTGAAGGCTCTGTTTGTGAGGAAGACCTTAACGTATGAGGAGCCACATGGTGCTGCCAGGAACACTTCTGGGCAAGACTCGGGAAGGGTAGAACCTGCTTTTTTTGGTGTGGTATCAGGGGCACTCTCTCTCTCTTTCCCTCTGTTGCCAGAATCCTCTCATCTGGATAGGATAGGCACTCAGCCTCATCACCTGGGAGACCCAGACCCCTTCTGGACTCTGGTCTCACACACAGCCCGGGAGTCACTCCTGATTAGGGGCACAGCGTCTTCACCTGAGGAAAGGGCTAACGTGAAGCTGTCACCTGGGATACCCACTTTTGCAGGGCGATCCGGGTGGTTTTCAGTGGTCCTGGGCAGAGACGACATTGGGGGCACGGTCAGTTCTAAATTATGGGCAGCCCTATGGATTCATGAGCTTCCGAAAATCCTGCCATGCGTAGCCCTAGCCAGGTTTCCCAAACTCCAAGCTGTGGCTTCCGTGAGTGAGTGAGTCAGTTAATCTCAGACTCAAGTTTTTTTGCTTCCCCCCCTCCTACCTAACCCAGCATTATGGCCTTTTCCAGTGTGTCTTATCTTCTCGTGATCTATCCAAACTGCAGTACCCTCAGTCTAAAAGGTAAAGGTTCCCCTTGACAATTTTTGTCCAGTCGTGTTCGACTCTAGGGGGCGGTGCTCATCCCCGTTTCCAAGCCATACAGCCAGCGTTTTGTCCGAAGACAATCTTCCGTGGTCACGTGGCCAGTGCGACTTAGACACGGAACGCTGTTACCTTCCCACTGAGGTGGTCCCTATTTATCTACTTGCATTTTTACATATTTTTGAACTACTAGGTTGGCAGGAGCTGGGACAAGCAGCAGGAGCTCACTCCGTCGCGCGGATTCGATCTTATGACTGCTGGTCTTCTGACCCTGCAGCACAGGCCTCTGCGGTTTAGCCCGCAGTGCCACCATGTCCCTATATACCCTCAGTCTAGTCAATTTAATTTTGATTTGATCGCTTACGTTGCTATGGGCCTTCAAGTCCAGAATTGGCTGAGAGCAACCCAGGTAGGACTTCGGGGGTCGATGAGATGTTGAAGGAGTGCTATTACTGGAGCCACATCCTAGGTGAGTTTCCATGCCCAGCCTGAGAGTCGAACCTAGGCCTCTTGATGTTCTCTATCTCCTTCGTAGTTACACTTCTGAGTCTCAGTCTTCTGATTTTTTTGGTTGCAAACCATTGGGCTACAAAAAATTGGTCATGATTTTTTTTCTCTCTTGAGGTTAACTGTGGTTAAACTGCAGTACTGCAGTCAAGCCTCTGATGTTCAGTCCTGACGGATGCAGGGAGCTGGCTCAGCCTTCCATCCATCTGAGGTGGGGACTGCAAAGTCTTGGTTAGTATAAGTATGTTGTCAACCACCTAGAGACGGCTCTAGCACCTTCTTCTTTAGGCTTCCTTGGTAGTTGTTTCAGGTTGTTGCTGTTTTCTGCCAGTAGGATGATTGTTGTTTTTTAATCATGAAGTTGTGTCCGACTCTTCGTGACTCCATGGACCAGAGCATGCCAGGCCCTCCTATCTTCCACTGCCTCCCGGAGTTGGGTCAAATTTGTTTTGCTAGTTTTGAAGACACTGTCTGTCCATCTCGTCCTCTGTCGTCCCCTTCTCCTCCTGCCTTCACATTTACTCAACATCAGGGTCTTTTCCAGGGAGTCTTCTCTTCTCATGAGATGGCCAAAGTCTTGGAGCTTCAGCTTCAGGATCTGTCCTTCCAGGGAGCACTCAGGGTTGATTTCCTTTAGAATTGATAGGTTTGTGCTCCTTGCAGTCCAGGGGACTCTCAAGAGTCTCCTCCAGCACCACAATTCAAAAGCATCAATTCTTTGGAGGTCAGCCTTCTTTATGGTCCAGCTCTCACTTCCATACATTGATACTGGAAAAACCATAGCTTCGACTAGGCAGACCTTTGTTGGCAAAGTGATGTCTCTGCTTTTTAAGATGCTGTCGAGGTTTGTCATCACAGTTCGATGATGCTACCCCCTAAAGGGCCCATGTGTGGGAACTGAGGTGCAAAATCTCGCAGGGTTGGGGAAGGGTCTGAGGAAAGGGACCCCAGCTTGGCACCAGCGGTTTTCCCCTTGGGTCCGCTCTGGTGTTTTGGTAGACGTGGGAACCCATCCCACGACACAGAGAGAAAGCCAGCCGAGCCGCACATCCTTCGGGAAGCCAGGCTGCTGGAGCACATCCGCCTGGCGCAGCCCTCCCCGCTGCCGTTGACACGTTTTGCTTGAGATAAGAGGAAAGCAAACAAAACTTTTAATGAGCTGCCACCGTCCCGGAGAATGGAGAAGCGAAAAGAAAAGGGGGGAAAAGCTATTATCCACCCTGATTATCCACCAAATTGGATCTGCCAACGTTAAGGAACAAAGACTCCAGGGAAAAAGCTCACGGTTGTGAGTTTTGTCAGCGAGCCAAACTCAACACCACAGGGGGCTTTGTTGGCTTAAAACAGAGTTACCTGGAATGAAGCTGTTTTAGCATCCAGTAACTTGGAATGCCTCGGCATACAATGTGTGCATGCATGCACACATTCCCTTAACAGACACACACAGAGAGACACCCTTAAGGTTTGGTCTCCTCTGCTCCAGATTAAGTCCCCCATCAGGAAAAAAGGTGGCATATAAATGAGACAAAGAAAGAAATTTCCTCTGCAGGCTTTGAGTTGCTTGAAAAGGACCCTAACCCTTCCTCCGGTCCTGAAGGGAGATAGGAGAAAAGTTTTCAAATACTTGAAAGTTAGCCATACAGAAGGAGGGGCGGGATCCGTTCTCCATCATCCCAGAGTGCAGGATATGTAAGAATGGGCTCAAGTTACAGGAAGTCAGATTTCAGTTGAATAGCAGGAAAAACTTCCTAACTGTTAGAGCAGTATGACAGTGGAACCAGTTACCTCGGGAGTTGGTGAGTGCTCCAATGCTTGAGGTATCCAAGAGAAAATGGGACCACCCTCTGTCAGATCTGCTTGGATTCGGATTCCTGCCTTGAGCAGAGGCCCCATTCCAACTCCATGATTCTATGATCCTTCGGATGGGCAATTTAGCCTAAATGAGGAGTGTTCCCAAAGCATGGCTTGATCTTAGAAGCACCAAATGCCCAGGATCCTTCAGTCCAGTATGAAGCAGTATTGATCCACATTGTATTCATTTTCCAACCCCATTTCCAAAGAGTTTGCTACTCATATAAGAGGCTTTCTGTTTTCCTTACTTAATAAATACTTCAGTTTCCATGAAAAATCTTTCATTCCGATGAAAACCTCCACATCCAAAATCTTTAAAAAGGGGTACGTCACCAGCATTTCATCTCACAGTATTTGTAAATTCTGATCTGGAATTACAGGGAATGAAGAACAAGGCTTGCTGTTAACCTCAGAAGTGTTTTCTTTCCACTACTGCTGAAAGTTACGTCAAATCGGAAAGTGAGCCATTCTTGGCTTCTACCGATTCCTGTATTTCCAACCAAATAGGTGGAGTTATTGTATGTTTTTCATTCTTTCATACCATCCTGTCTGAAAATCCCCACACGAGAGTGCAGAAATCATCTGGACTGCAAACTGTTAAAAATAGTTCTCTCATGGCAGTGATGGTGAAGGCCTTGATGGTCAGTTGCAGAGTTGCTTCATTGCCTCAGAGGATGATCACAGGCCAGTTACAAGATGGGGGAAAGTTGGCTCAGTAGTATTAGGTGATGGAATAGTTGTAGACCTCAAGCTGACTATAAGCCAACAGCATGATGTGGCTGCAAAAAAGGCCATTGCGGTTTTAGGTTGCATTAAAATAAGTCTAGCCTCCAGGTCATATGAAATATCAGACCCCTTAGGTTGCATTAAAATAAGTCTAGCCTCCAAGTCATATGAAATATCAGACTGCCTCTATTCAGCACTGATTAGGTCTCATCTTGACTCCAGTGTCCAGTTCTGGACACAACACTTCAAGAAGGATGCTGACCAACTGGAGCAAGTTCAGAGGAGGGCAACAAGGATGATGATCAGGGGATTGGAAACCAAGCCCTTGAGGAAAGACTGAAAGAACTGGGCCTGTTTAGCATTGAGAAGAAATAGGAGAAGATAGGATTGCCCATTTCAAAGACTTAAAAGGACTGTCCTTGAGAGGAAAGACTGAAAGAACTGGGCCCGTTTAACATTGAGAAGAAATAGGAGAAGATAGGATCGCCCATTTCAAAGACTTGACTGTCCTTGAGAAGGAGGCGCAAGATCTGTTCTTGATCATCCCAGAGTGTGGGACATGCAACAATGGGTCCAAGCGACAGGAAGCCAGATTTGAGTTGTTTATCAGGAGAAACATCCTAAATGTTAGAGCAGTATGACAATGGAACCCATGACCTTAGGAGGTGGTGAGCACTCCAACACTGGAGGGATTCAACAGAAAATGGGAAAATCATCTGTCAGCTATGGTGTGATTTGACCATAATTGCTGTGATCAATTCATCAGCAGGGGAGGGGGCAACCTTTTCACAACAAGGCTCCCTGTATGTAGCCATTTAGCACTTCTCAAAGACTTGACAGGTAGTCCTACAGAGGAGGGGCAGGATCCGTTCTCCATCATCAACAATGAGCTCAACTGAAAGCAAGATTTCAATTGAATATGAGGAAAAACTTCCTAAGTGTTAGAGTAGTACAACAATGGAACAAATTGCTTTGTGAGGCGGTGAGTGCTCAAACATTGGAGGCCTTCAGGAGAAACCTAGACAGCCACAGTACGCACCGTATATATTTTCACTTGGATCTCTGCCTTGAGCAGATGATTAGACTAGAGGATCCTTGTGACTACATTATTCTGTGATTCTATAATCCTCAGTTCTGGCAACTTCCTCCAAAGGGTTGTAAGGCTTTGCTGTATTGCTATTATGTTTACAATCAGTAGCTAAAACTGTGCTGTTCCAAAGGACCCTGGGTTTCTTAAGATTGATTGTTCCGCACTTGGATCTCTGCCTTGAGCAGATGATTAGACTAGAGGATCCTTGTGACTACATTATTCTGTGATTCTATAATCCTCAGTTCTGGCAACTTCCTCCAAAGGGTTGTAAGGCTTTGCTGTATTGCTATTATGTTTACAATCAGTAGCTAAAACTGTGCTGTTCCAAAGGACCCTGGGTTTCTTAAGATTGATTGTTTCATTGATTGATTGATCGATTGGTTCATTCATTCATTGATTTAAGAATGTCTTCAATCGGCTTCTTAAATATTTTTAACTGTTTTAAATACTTTTTATTTACCATAAATCCATTAGATGGCATTTGGGAGAGAAGAGCAGTAGACAAATGTCTGAATGCTGCTATTTTAATTAATTATTTAATTAATTAATTACTGTGTGTGGCTGTGAGCTCAGCCCTTAATCTGCTGCAGCTGTAAAATGATAGTTTGCTATGTCCAAAATTTAGAAAAAAGATGGTCAAGAGAGTACGCTGAAATGTGGAGAATACAATGCTCCCCCCCCCTTTTTAAAATCAGAATATTAATCTGGAGTATTTCTCATTGTGAGTAGACCTGGCTAAAAAGAGTTTAGGCCCCGGATGCTTCTTGGTGAGTCCAGTCAGTTTGCTGGTAGACAGATTTGCTGGTCAGAAAGCAAAATGCAGCCACCTCAAAAACTTTAGCTTCAGTAAGCAGAACTGAGCCAGAGTCACATCGCAGTTGCAGTGTTGGGCGAGATATAGAAACCAGTTCAGTAAAGCCTGGTGGGTCCAATGTCAGTAGGAGGTTGAATCTGCTCTGGGTTGTTCTCTGAACATTACAGGAGCTCTCCAAGTCCTGACCCCCTCCAAATAAGTTCAGCACCCTGGAGAGCTCACTACTGAAAGTCCAGATAAAATCTGGAGTGCTTCCTGAGGCCCCACTGAGCTGGGAGTCAGCTTGCCTCCAAAGCCCGGGTTCAAATCCACCAGGCTATGCTACTCATTGGGTGACCTTGGTCAGGCACACAGTCTGAGTCTGACCTACCTCACAGGGGTATGGTGAGAAAAGTGTGGAGATGCTGCCTTGAGCCCATCGAAGGAAAGGATGGCTAAGACGTGTACCTAATAAAGAGAGCCAATGATAATGTAGCACATA